ACGCATGATGCACATCATTTATCCTTGTTGTTTACGAAATGTTAAACAAGGATAAATGATGCATCGTGCGTGAAACGAAACGTATATCCCAGAAGTTTTAACCTAAAAAATATTATACTATATTTAAACTCAATAAACATCTTATTAGCATTCTATCTTTAAAAACATTATCGATATTTCTATACATATAATATGTCGACAAAACATAATATCGACATGACAATCAATATGTGATTCGTTTATTAAACTTCTTCTTGCATTGTTTCTGATTATTATAGATTATAGTGATGTAGAATATTTCAGATTCACGCTTTAATTTTTCTTACGAATGAAAATATTCACTCCACGATACAGAAGAATTTACTCCATACATATGAAAAGTCACTCCAACTTGAGTGATTCGATAATCACTTCATTTTTCGAGTGGAATTTCATTTTCAAGAAATTTAGGGAGTACGACGTGTATCATTTGTCCGTTGAGGCATAAGATAAAAATATATCTCCTAAAATCTGTGGAATTTCAGAAGCAGAGCACGATCGTATCAGCATAATGTTGTGTCTCCGAAATATTAATTAAAATATTATTAAGTCGCGTTAAATTATATTTTCTAATCAGCAGTGAACGTTAACCCATATTGAAATGTGAGCGATTAAGTAATTGACTACGATAAGAAATTAGCATGAAACGAGCATTAAGTCGATCCAATAGCCTCATTCGATATTTAATATTTAATTTATGATAATTGTTATTATACTCGACCGCCTAGATTTTAATGCGTGCAAATCGTTCGCGATATCGCAATACAAATTAAGGAATAACACGCGACAGTGCATACGCGGAGGTAACATTATTAACAAAAAGGGTAAAAAATATTTCCCAATACTATACGAGACAAAAAATCATTTGTTATTTTCGTACTTAATTAAATTCGCAGTATAATAATCGCTATTAAACGAATTTACCTAAATGCGAAATAAATGAGCGATTATTTTCCCCTATGCCCTTCTGCTTTATTTTTATGAAATACTATCCCTTTAATCCGGCTCTAATTAGGATCTTTTACGACGTGGAGTTGCGTACGTATTTTTTTTATTTCTTTTTTGCGCATTACATGCACGTATCTCGGCTCGAATGGATTCACAGAGTTAGATATCAAAAATAAAAATTCTATCCTATTCCCTCTCTCTTTTTCTCTCTCGTCGGTATGTTCTAGAATATAGCATTTTTCAAGTTCTTTCGGTCGTGGTCCACAGTAGAAATACATTTCACATAACGAATCAGTACACGTACATATACAAAAATTTCATGAAAGCATATTTACCCTTGCTACATATAATAGAGTAGAAACATGACAATGTTAATATAAAATACGATTTTACGAATAAAAATGTAGTGAGTAAAAAAAAAGAATTACATGAGAGCGAGATATCGGAAATGTGCCGAATATGAGCATTCTGATAAAAAAAACGTATTCTCTTACGATTAGATTACCGTAAAGAGAATTACTCGATTTATTGATTTCCGTGTAATCCGGCTTATTTTAGTATTAGCGTCAAACCCTGTTGTCTCTTTCGCTAAAATCTATCTTTCTTTTCATCACTTTTCTCATACGAATTTTCTGTGGCACATCAAAGTAAATCTCGTTTGTTTTCGTCACTCGGTATCGCGTTCGATATATTATTCTCTCTTCTTCTCTCCTTTCTCTTCTCTCGCGCAATTTTATCATACTCCTATTTTTTTTTCTATTCTTTGAAATACAGCTAGCCTTTTCGCAATTTCGATGGAACTTTGACCGAGATTTGACCCACTATAAAGCACGTGTTAAGTTTATCATCGACTAAGCACTAATTGTAAGTGCGAAAATAGGAAAAAGAAAAAAGCAAATGGAGCTGCTGAACGGAAATAGTAAACGAAATCATTTAAATTGACGCTAACACACGAAATTCAACCGAATTTTCGTTTTTTGATCTACAGCAAAAGGGATGGGAAACATTTAAATGATCAAACCTATCAGTGAAATGACCCTTATTGGGCGTTTAATTAATCGCGTTAATGTTAATTAGGATTGATTGTTAAAATTAGTTAAATTTTCTTTCTTCGTCTACTATCATTAAATGAATTATACATAGAGAGAATAATTTTGCTAAAGTATCTAAAAATTTAGTTAGATACAAATCTAATAATAATTTTGTTGGATTATTAAAGTAATTTTACAGGATGTTAATTGCTAGAATATCAAAACTTTTTGTAGAATTGCTCATCATGCTTGAATTTTCTACATAATTAATTTTTATAGTCCAACAAAATTATTTTTAGAACTGTATCTAGCTAAATTTTTAAATACTTTAGCAAAATCGTTCTTTCCGTGCAATGCAAAGGTCATGTTTTTACACATCTGAAACAATTATCCAAATGCACGATTCTTACGAAAAGAAATTTTCTTTAGATGCTAAAGATTCACTGTTAAAAGTTTCAATGCTTTTTTGGTTGAACGTACATTGCATTCTCTTATAGTTATTTACAGAAATCTAATACTGGTCAATATTGAAAGGCAGTAATTAATTACTATTTTAAATATTAAAAACGCTGTTGTGTTCAGTGCTTCTAATACTTCTAATGTGCTTCTAGTACTTTTAATAAGTAATTAGTTACCGTTTTCCAGTAATAAAGTGGCCAGTATTAAATCGAACATTATTAGATATTTCTGTAAATGTTAATAGAGATAATACAAATAACTTTCGATGAAACGCACCCATACACTTGAATGAAAAGAAGGAAATTTTTTATGATCAGAAATTCTCTGTCGAGGAGTCTTGCATGGAAATGCTTCTCTTGCTTTTAAGAAAATAATGAGTAAATATGGACTTTATATTGTCGGCGCTATGAAAATTTCTCTTTGAATAAAGTTCTTCACTATTTTTAATACAAGCAGTTGCCGTGGGAGCGTCACGCACTTTACAATGATAAAAATAAAAGATTATTCGAAATTTTAGAATAATAATATAGCATTAAAGAAGCAGAAGAAGAAGAATTTAAAGCAAAGCAATAGTAAAATAAAAATAAAAATTAAATTTATTGAGATTCACTTGAAATGGGATAAGATAAATTCATTATCAATTAAGAAAAGAATTTATGATTGATGCCACACATACACATAAAATAATTTTAAATTCTAACATGAATGTTATCGCGTTTCATAAAAATTTGTAAAGTTCTCTTCCTGGGAAAAAATGTTTCTTATATAATAATATATAATTCTATAAAATTATATATAATTATATAAAAAAATTGACATATTTTATATACAATTATATATAATTATATATAAAACATGTCCATATATAACATTTTTTCCGGGTTATTATTGTTTATTTATTATGGAACATAAGGAACTACATTAATTGGAAAACAACATAACACTCGGTTATTACGGCACATGGATTGGAATTTGCACATAATTTCGATTGGGAGAATATTAAAATTTTAGATAAAGAAAAGTTCTTAAACAAACGACTAGCAGCAAAAATGATTTACATACATAAACAGAAAAATAGCTTTAACGTACAAAGTGACACAGAATTTTTAGATCCATTATATATGCTACTTTAATTTAAAAAAATTGATGCTTCCCTCTTTTCTATAGTTTTATTGAAGGTCTATTTGTGTTATTGTGTGACAAACGTTCTCAGTAGACCCGTGACAAACGTATTATCAATAATCGCATAATGTTAATCTTCAAACATCTCTATGTAAGATTTTAATTAATTATTTTATTTAATTACCATCAGTGTAATTTCAATCTTATTTATTAAATATTTATACCTTTGACGCAACTCATTATTTAGTAAACTTGGAAATCTAATGGACAATTTTAACATATGAATGCGAATGCGAACTTTATCCACAGTTCATATAAAAGACGAACAATATTTTTGTAAGTAACACAATCTAACGATGAGAAATTATAATCGATTGCAAAAAAGTTGAACATTATATTGTCCTACGAATACTTAATAAGTTGTATTTTTTTGAATGTATTATATTCTCATTATTTAGGCTCGGTTGCATCAATGTTACTTTGACTTTAAGCAAGACTTAAAATTCTCTCTGTTTCGTTTTAAAGCCGAAAAAAAGACAGAGACAAAGAAAGTTTTAAGCCTCGCTTAAAATCAAAGTAACGTTGGTGCAATCGGGCCTTAGTTCTCTTAATAATTCCTTTTTATTAAATTTAAAAAAATAGTATTTTGCTACGTTAAGTTTATATACTATATATAGTAAATATACAGGGTGTTCCATTTTAAACGATGCATTGAGATTTCTCGAAAACTATGGTAGATACGGAAAAATGTTTCAAACAAAAGTTGTATCAGTCATCCCTGCGAGAGTACGAATTTTGCCGCCAAATGTCACTCCAGCTGACAGCTGTGGCGCGTCATGCGTCACGTGCTCATTGGCTCATTGTTGATGTCGCGTTCCGTTATTCCTTATCGCTTTTTTAACTGCGAAAGCTTATCGAGATTGTGTCGGTAACAAAACGTCGTCGCGTTCGCGTTCATTGCCATCGTCCTGATATTCTTATAACGGAGAACACTCGTGAAATGATGTTTACGATAACGAACGGCACTCGCCGACGTCGTCGTTATCGTTCAACGCTCTGATAGCAGCGAAAATTTGAGATATCCGTGAAGATCCGAGACGATCTTCCAATCATCGATATCATCGACAAGTGGCACTTGTAACGAGATGCCACAGCGCGTAAAGTGTTATCGTAAAGCACGAATTGTCGTGATGACCTCGCACATTTTGAGGTTAAACCCGTCGTTCCTCACATCCTTTCCGCGTTCGTGCCATCGGCGGGAGCCCTAACTCCTCGGATGCGCTGAACGCCGCGAAAGAGCGTGATGATAATGGCGTTTTTGAAACGATAACTGCATTAATTGAATGCCTCATTAAGGAGCGATTAATATCAGCCTAAACGTAGCACGTTATCTTGTTTCAGTCATTGTGCAACATGGCTTTGTTACGATACTCATGGGTCTTGTTACTATCAGGTGAAACAAAAAAGAAGCATAGAGAAGTATATACAACCCTAAACACAAAGAAAGCAACAGTAACATTACACCACAATATTATAATCTTTCATTCATCAATATAAATATATAGCATCATGTTATAATATTATAGTTCCATTTATTAATATAAATATTTAATATTACATGACAATAATGTAATTTTCCGCTCATCAATATAAATATGAATATAACACACGTACATAACAATTACACAGTCGTTATGCACAATATGTGTTATATTCATGTACTAAAATTCACTGCCAGCACTGAGAAACCTATACTTGCACTTCAGATTTTCAGTACTGGTAGTAAATTTTGGAATACGGTCTACATAGTTAAGTAGGAAATTATAACAATTGATAATGTTACGATTAGTTTGTGTTCAGTGGGAATGTTTTCATTTTTGTTACTGTAGATTACATGTCGTTCATATTTGCAGTTTTGACATGCGTTCAGGGAGACCTTAGGGTATCACCGCAGGATTTAAAAGTACAACTCAATAAGTGGAGCTCGTTCAATTTTTCACTGACGTGAGTAGCTTGTTATGTGTCGCTAACTTAAGCTATTACATTGAATTGTACTGTGGATATCGTCGAGTACTTATAAATTTTATTGGCTATCGGAAGTTGTAATATGAGCTGTTGTATTGCTTTTAGGGACATGTATGTGTTGACAGTGTTGATATAGGGTACTTTCCAGCAAGAGATACAAATGACATATTGTAACGCATGAATTATTTCATCTTTGTTTAACACTGTTATCAAACAACAAGGATGCGACGATTCATTGTATTAAGGTCCAGACACAATAAAAAGCACAAACAACAGCAACAGGAAATTACACACAGGCAATAGATTTTAATCTACCAGGAAATGCTGTATATTGATACACAATTTCTGATAGATCGAAATCCACACACAGCACAGAATCTTGCAGCAACATTGCTGTAACATTTGTAGTGTTGCTGCAATATTGCTGAAATGACCTGTGCTATATAGGAATTTATTGCCTGTGTGTTATTCCTTGTTTCTATTGCCTGTGCTTTTCATTGGTCTGAGTGCACTGTTTTCTGTGTCTCTTGCTGGAAAACACCCATAGTTGTTACTTATGTCTGTGAGATAAATTAAGTGCATTATTAGAAACCTTTGTTGTATGTATGCATGACAAAAAGTGCTTTAAAACTAATGTTTGTGTTCTATCACCTTCACCTATATCAAGCATATATTAGTTAATCTAAGCATGCCATGGCGACAGAATTCGTTTTGTCCCCTTTTAAAACTGATAACAGCAGACATCTAATGACATTAAAATGTAATATTGTTTTCGGACTTTATACTGTACATTCAATTACAGAATGATAAATCAATGATAGCTTGAATGATAGGCTTATGTCAGTGTGCTTCAGAATTGCAACCATGCATATAAATGAGATTACTAAAAATGAGATTTTTTATTAGTCGTATCTTACTTTGCAGGGAACCGTTAGAACCTGATAGCAAAACTGCAGTCGTTACAATAGATGTACAGCATCCTGATCTGCTATCTACAAACCTATCAAACTTTTCTATTACACCGAGGGACTCAAAAACTGAATGGGTTATTTATGTTAAAGGTCTGAGCGCAGGTCACTTGATTGTTAGCGCTAACGTAACCCCTAGTGATATCACGGAGTAAGTATAGGAATGTTTTATAGAGATTTAACAAGCTCTTTTTTTACATTTTGATTAAACGTTCCAATCGGATGTTGATATTTTAAATAACAGTGATTATGAACGTATATTTGATATAAATATTCATAATCAAGTATTGTGAAACAATAAACAGCGGGGAACAGAGACCTATGGCACTGATGCTTTCGTTCCCTCCCTATCTTCATGACTAATTCTGAAAAGATACAGAAGAGGCCTGTTCTTTTTGGCTTCCTTTCCTACTGGAGAGAAAAGAAAGAAAGATGAACTAGTGCAAAAGTTCAGTCAAAAAGAACAGGCCTATTATCAGTGTTACATTCACATTTTATTAGACTAAGACTGCTAGCTAAGATTGCACAGATAGCCTCTTGACCTAATTTTACCAACCAAGCTGTAACTTAAAGTTCCATTAGTCTGTCTCCAGATGTTGAACAGATTATTTCCTAGTTCAATTGCAGTGTCTAATAATTGATGTATCTAAATAATTTTTTATATATAATTTTTTTATATAATTTATTTATAAATAATTTTAACATTTTTGTAACAATGATAAGTGAAATTTATCGAATATATATCAGTGATGAAATATCTGTAAATACTGGAATTAATGCTACTATTTATTATTTAAACTTGTTGGTATTTTTTAAAATCAGTTTTCAGAAAGTGTTGTGTGAAATAAAATTGCAATCATTATCAAAACTGTTGAAAAATGTCTATGTATAAAATTATTATTATACCGCGAGATCAGTTACATAATATCGATTTAAAGTGAGCAAATTCTATTTCTGTTATTTTTATTTAACATATTTTTAAAAATAATATTTTAACGGTGAATGCAAAGAAATAACTTGTATATCTCTTTTCAGTTTCTCCCAAGCGTTTGTTAGAGTAACAATAGAGAAATCGGATACGTTATATCACATCAGTGCTGTGGTTGGATGGATATATTTTTTAGCATGGAGCGTAAGCTTCTATCCACAAATCTATTCTAATTATAAACGTAAAAGTGTTGTGGGTCTTAATTTTGACTTCGTATCACTAAATCTTATCGGTTTTCTTATGTACGCACTGTTCAATTGCGGTCTCTACTGGATACCTGAGATTGAGGTAAAACATTGCTATTTGTTTCTATATCTTGCAATGAAATAAAAAAGAGAGACAGAAAGCGCTAAACATTGAGATATTTTTATAAATAAATAGTCTTTAGTAAGAATGTAAAAGAAAAATGCGCGTATTATGACGATTAATTAATTTATTAAAATATTTTCAGAATCAGTATTTCGAACGATATCCAAAAGGCTTAAATCCTGTACAAATCAATGATATATTTTTTGCATTACATGCAGTATTTGCTACTACAGTGACTGTCGGACAATGTTTTATTTATGAGGTAACTAAATGTCGAGACAGCATATTATTATATTTTAAGGGGATTTTAAAGCGAAGCCCGAATTCCGACGAAGTCACCAGAGGTCACTGTTTTTCCAGCGACATGTCTATATACTTTATATACTACCACATTAATATCTCACGCAATCTATGATACACGCAGTCGCACATTCGTGTCAATTTTCGTATAACAAATTCGTCGCGATAAAACATCTAAGTCTAATTCTAAGAACTCGACGTTATTTGTTCGTGCAAACTACGTGGATTACTATTTTGTAAGTACAGGTTGCAAAACTTTTATGTCACGCAAATGTTGTCACGACTTGAGATCCTAGAAAAGGATTATCGAATCTGTGAAAGAGAAAAAAATATTTGTTATACAAAAAAATTATTATTTAGTCGGAAATACAGATGGCTTTAGGATCCCCTTAAAATAGCTATTTGTAGAAATTGAAATTTAATCGTATTTATTTTTACTCCAGATTGGCAATCAAAGAGTATCAACGACTGCACGTATTATCCACGGAATATTTGCGATTTTTATACTAATATCTTTAATATTATCTTCCGTGAAGACAATTCAGTGGCTAGATTTTCTCTACTACTGTAGCTACGTTAAGCTCAGCGTAACGCTTATTAAATACGTACCGCAAGCATTTTACAATTATAGGAGAAAGTCCACTGTCGGCTGGAGTATAGGAAATGTATTTTTAGATTTTACGGGTGGCATTTTATCAATGCTACAGATGATACTCAACGCTTATAACTATGGTAAACACACAAATGTACAACTAGATTTACTTTCGTCTTGTATACAGAATGCGTAAATTAATGTTTATGAGATATTAATGTCATAAATTTTTATCTCAGACGATTGGGAGAGTATTTTCGGAGACCCAACCAAATTCGGTCTTGGATTCTTTTCTGTGGCATTTGATGTATTTTTCTTAATTCAGCACTACGTTCTGTACAGGTATGTATACATGCATGCTTTAATATTGCTTGCGCTTTGCATCCAATCTTTTTTATCGAATAACTTTTTTAGAAATCCTGAGCCTGTGCTAATAATAAAATAAAAATAACACCTTGCGGGTTAAGCTTTTATGTAAGATCCAATGATTAGATATTAAGGTTTCATGCAAGTAGAAAGTGGAGATGTTCACTGATCTTTTGTGTTGCACTTTTGATGATATGTTAATAATCATTATTAATTGCATGATTTTATTAACTATTAATATAACAGCGGACTTCGATACTTCATTATTCGTATTATTCTAATTACATTTAATTGTATAAATATTATACCCAATGAGAGATAGTACGTTAAACATACGAGAATAGAATACCCATTTATGATTTTGTTAATCGCATATATATGTATGCCATTTCGTCTTACCTATTTAATGAGCTACGTAATTGTAGATATGACGTAGAGCAAGACTTTGATTTTACAGACATAACGATGAGAAGATGATTGACCTGAATGGCAGAATATAGCGACTCTTCGACGAGGACTTAATTTCCCTTCCTTAAAATTCTTTCCTGATTCATATTTTATATAGATGTTTTTATATATTCATATAAATCTTTGCACGAATATTTTCTCATTTATCATTATTATGTACATAGGATATAATAGATAGAATATAAAGTTTAAAATGCGTACACAAAACGAATATATACCAGCATGCGCGATATCAAAAGATATATAAATTTTTGTATATTCTTTTTTCTTCTCAGTATTGATATTTATAAAAATATTTCATAAAGAATGTTTTTAAAAAATTATATAAGTAAAAGGTTTGTATTTATATTGCGTATATCTGCAATATAAATAATTTTTACTTTTATAATTTTTATTAATAAATTTTATTTAATTTTAAGTCGAAACATATATGAATTAATATCATAGCTATGACAGAAAATATTTATATTTTTTCTAAACATTTTAAATATGATATTTTATTAAAGATATTTAAATTAAGAAGATAGTACAAATTACTGTCATAGGATAAAAAATCATTCTAACATTGAATTGGAACAGTATCGAAATAAAAATGAGAAGAGAATAACGCATTCTCACGAGAAGTTTGCACAAATAAATGACGTATTTTTGATAATATTTGTCAAATAAATTATAAAAAATAAAGAATCGTATTTAGTAGTTTACATTGAATATAAAATAAAAATATGTTTAAAAAGAAGATGATATATGGATGTTGAAAGATTTTTTTCAATGTAGTTAAATTTTTGTTGAAGAATCAGAGAATTATATATTGACGTTACAATAAATGATTATTATTGACGTTGTTATAATAAAAATAATATTTTATGGAGCCAATATTTATCTCGACACGAAGTTCCATTTCCATTATTTTCACACTGTCCCATTTGTTCATTACGCATCGAATTAAATCCCCATCCGAGATAATTACAGTTGGTATTTTAAATACTAATGTGATATTGACACGTTATACTATATGCCCAGTATAATACTATTTACCATTATATTTTATTAGGTTACCGAAGGATAAATGTAAAAATCAGGGTTCATCATTCGCATGAGGCATGTTTCGCGTTTGTTATAATATTATTATTATTGTTGTTGTTGTATTATGCATTAAAAAGATTTAATTGTTGTAAGTTTTGTAAATTGCACAGTGGTAAAAGACTGCGGCGATTTTATAGCTATAACTTGGGAGAATAGTCGTCCGAATAGATTTGGGTGCTAAATATGATTTTGTGCGTGCCATCCCATGTCGAATGTGTGAAATTGTGTGATTTTATTTTCATTAACCGGGAATAAACATCTATCCCAGACAGCATATATCCATGATCGGAACATAACACATCTTAAAGTTTTTAAGACTTTTTGTGATATATAATGTTTATGCTCGGAAAAAGATACAGAGGTAGCAACAATGAAAGTGACAACTATATAAGTTTTACATGTAGAATTAATTTATATAGTTAAAAAAATTAATGTACGTAATTGAATATACTATTGAATAAATTATTTTATATATTGCAATAATTATAAAATGGTTTGTTTAATTGTGTACAAGACATAATAGTGGCAATTATAAAAAAAAACGACTTAATGACGTTTTTAAGACGTTACATCCCAATTTTGGACGTGATGCTGTTTGAGATATCTTCATTTTCTCGTTTCGAATCACGAGTGCCTAACAATAACTAAAAGGTTTCGTCGGTAAATATAAGCCCCATTATTTTTTATGTGACATTTGTTATCCCCGAGATAAATAAATGAATCGATTGAAAAGTTTCACGACAGGAACTTAATCGCGAAATTAATGCTCGGAAGGTTTTTGAGGAGAGAGAGGTTAAAATTCTTTTCAGATAACACTGTTTCATTTGAATGTGTAATAACTGAGGTAATAACTATTCATGTCGAATGATTATGAATATGTATATGCAGACGAAGTTTCTCTACTTGTACGTATTTTCTAAAAATTGTAACGATAAAATAAAAATAAGTGAATTTGCCAGTGCTCACCCGGAACTCTCCCCCTTTTACTGCCAATAAGGATTGGCCACTTTGATTCCCGGATTAATCCAGGAAATGGATTATGTATTTTGAAATGACATGTGAATTTTGCTTGCTTTTGTAATTTTTAGGGTTTTTCAATTTTTTTTCAATTCGCATTAAATAATTAATCAAATTTGTCGACGTACAATATTAGGTGCAAACGCTTCAACGCTTAGCATATATATTTTTATCAGATACCGTCAAAACAACATGCAGAAATAAAAAGTGAAGTTCCAATGTTTTACTTTTATTTTTTTTATTTTATCGTATTAAAGGTTGGTCATAATTGGTGTTGATTAAAATAAGAGTAAACGATATAATTTAGATAGTTTTCACAATTTTTAAAATTTGTACGCTTTTTTAATTAGCGCTTCACTCGCTTTTTTGCTTCTTTTTACATTTTTTTAAATTTTCGCAGCATACTTGGAGATCTTTTGCGGTACACTAGTTAAAAATAGAGATCTTCTAATCAAAATCTGGCCATGACAAGAGGTCCAACATTTTTGATAAAATATGCAACTGATATATTTTATCTCATTCTGCAATGATACGAGAGAGAAAAAACAATATGTGCTATCTCGCGCTGATTAACGCGATTCGACAAAAAATGTTAGACCAATCATACGTATGCTATCTCATGACCAGACTAATTGTTTTCTTTTAGGAGACATTCGACACAAATATCGTCTTATCTGTTATTCAATATATAAATCAACACTGTTAAATTCATAATGTCCAATTATATCTAATTTGAGTTATTTGTAAACATTTTTATAGGTCGCCACTGCTCTTATTCAATATATTGTTAATTTAACAATGAAGTTGAACAATTTAAAAACTAGCAAACGCAAATCAAATTCTGTCCTAGATTCAATTCTATCCAATCTAATTTTATCCTATTACTTTTTGCATTCTTAGGACAAATTTTGATTGACTGTAACCAAATCGATTATTACGTATCCTTCAAATTGTTTTACGTGTCTTCTTCTACCATGATCAAATGTAAAAAAAATCGTAACTGTAAAGTTATAAACAAATCGACCAATCACAGCCAAAAGTGCGGTCTTACACTTTAGAATGCTCGATCATGATTGGCGATATCTTACAATTAAAACTTTTACGTGTGACAGCCTTAACTAAAAAAAATGTATTAAATTTGATTCAATTTATTACATATAATTTATTAATAATTTAGTTTATTATTTACTAAGTGCGTACCTTAATGTAGACCAGGCCCGTCCAATTTGAGCTGCAAAGCCATCGATATAAAAAAATTCAATGTAAGATTTTAGAACTATAAAATGTTGATAAGCGTCACTTAGATGCGTACAACACTTTACAGTCCCCGAAATCTTACCTACATTGAATTTTTTTGCGTCGATGGCTTTGCATTTTGGCTCCGAAACTCAAATTGGACAGGCCTGAATTATAGACGTTGATTATTTTGAAACTAATTACATAAATTGACTAATTTATGACACACTTTATTTTAAAGTTTTGGAAGTTAAAAATAACAAAATATATTATTTTAACTCAAGAAATTGAGTTATCGTTGCTCCTTTGATACATAACATATCGAAGAAGGATAGAACGATGTTTGTGTCGACTGTGCTTTCTAAAAGGAAAGGGTCCCTATAATTAAAAAAACCCTGAGATCACAATCGACCCCCAGTTCATTAACTCGACTAATTCTACTAATCAGCTTAACACACTTTATTTTAACGATATTTGAAAAATTTATGATCTCCCCCATCCCTCGTTCCCGAGCGTGTCGGGAGATCACGAATCTCCGTGATCGCCGCTCGCCACTCTCAATGTGCTTAAAAAAAAATGTGTCGCAATTCCTTTCCTTGCAGGAATCGCGCGGACTATACCGAGCTGCCCGGCCATTGCCAGGAGGAGCCCGAGGGCGCGTGCAGCGCATGAAAATATGAAAAATCGCTTATCGCATCGCAAAATCGTCGTCCCCCTGTTAGAACGCTTAAGAGTAACGCTCGTCGCAACGCACCCTCCTATCTTCGTCGTACGGCACACGCACGATATCCCATTTGCGCCTCGCGAGAAGAGGACGTGGATAGCCATCCATGTCCTCCCGCTCCTCGATCGGAATCAAAGTCGAAGAGGATTGACTTACCCCATCAAGTCGTATCTTACGCCGTCTCTCCCGGCAGTCGTGGCACCTCCTTCACCGTCTTGTGGAGACGCACGATTACCAAACTCTACCGATCGAGCCTCCTCTCAGGACGAATCGCACGCAAAAAGCACCAACCGCCCGTGTGTGTATACCGCACCGAAAGAAACGCGTAGACTGCCGGGTCCGGTAGCGTCGATTACCGCGCATTTTGAATATATTTCGATAATCGCAATTCGATTGTACGGCAGCGCGCGCAGCCATCGCCGTTCATTCGCCGTACCCGAACGCCACGTGACCGTCCCGATGGTCCAACTGCGCAGAGCTTCAAGTCGTTTCGTCAAGTCGATCTTCTCGTTGATCATCTCGGCAGGTAAGCTTTGTTCCATTGTCTCTCCGTGAGGTTTTCTCGTTGTTTTATGAGTGTAAACTTGATAGTTTAATGAGCGTGAGATAATTTTGAATCGTCAAATAAGTAACGCGTCACTATGCTCGATATTGCCGAGCATGAATAACATAACCTATAAAAAATATCTTAGTAAACACCAATTAATATATATTTTTATCAATGTAGATTAATTTTGATCTCAGTTTAATTTACCCTTTATCCTTTTCTAATTCAATTAGTTTAATTTTAATCTTTGTTCAACTAACTCTTCATCTCTTTCTAGTTCTAAAAATTAAAAAAAAAGATGAGCAAATTGAGTCGAGATTAAAGTTACACATTCTATTCATTGGTAGAAACGGGCATTGTTCTTAGAACTAAAAAAGAAGATAAAAAGTAAATTAAACCAACATTAAAATTAATTTACATTGATAATAAAAGGCATAAAAGAAACAGATCAATGTTATAATTTTACACTCAACAATA